TGTTGTTTTTGTGTAGTGGCCAAGAAACAAATACTTACTCATGTGATAACCTGATTGGCATTCAAACATGTTATCTTCTCTTGCCAAATGCTCACTGTCTTTATAGCCTCTTGCCTTAGGGAGTTGTATGTCATAATTTTGAGCCAATCAAGTATAAGTTACTCCTAGATTTACACAGTATTGAGGGGACACTGGACATAGATGCTCAGTAGTAGATAATCTTAAATGTTGGATTCACAGGGGAAGGAGGCAGTTAAGTATTGATAGGGGAGATTGATTAGAAATGAAGCAATTTCAGCAACAACTGAGAATAATGGTGAGAATGGGAGCGATTGGAGTCTGGGCTTAAAATATCAGTCATCTTACAACATACTATATGGCCAAGGATTGCTTCATTTCTTCTGCATCTTTATTAAAATTAGTTGCATCTCTTTGTTCATGCTCAGCTTAATCTGCCTGTTCAGGATTAGATGAATGATGTAATATAAATCCAAAGTAAGTGGCACTGATAATTCATTTGAAACCCTATCATTTAGTCAGTAGTAGGAATATCTATCTTTGAAAAGATCGGTTGCCAGGGCGGAAGTGAAGCATTACATAACTCTCCCTTGCAGTTCAGCCCTTTCAAAGCTTCTCTTTCTGTGGTCTGTGCAGATATTCCACAGTGGAGCATATGGAGAACAGTAGGGCTGTGCATTTTGAAAATGTTTTGGGAGAAACATTTCACGATTGCAGCACCTGTTCTGTTCACTAAAGCAGTCCAACGTTTTTCAAGCTTCTACTTGAATCTAAAAAAAAAAGTGCCTCAGCTTTAAAAGTCACTTGTGGATTCTTTAAAAGAGCAGCATTGTTTGATTGTTTGTTTGTTTGTTTTTTCCCAAGCTCAGGTGGAAGTCTGGGGGGAAAAAGTAGTCTGCCTTAATGAATAGCAGAGAAGTACTGTGCTTGCACAAGGTCCAAAGCACTCTTTCCAGATCGTTTTCGAAGCATGCAAAGCTCTAGAAAACAGATGCTCAGCATCACTGTAAGAATGAATGAATCAATGAATCAATGAATATATCCTAGCAGAATAGCAGAGCATCATTCTATAATGAGTTACTGATTTTTCATGGTTACATAGTTACAGAACAACTTCAAATATAGTTTTCTTGGCCAAGGTGGTCAAATAGGTGGTGGCTGAGCATTTCCAAATTAAACTTATTTTCTGAATCAATTTCATTCTGGTTTTAAACCAGGACATAGCATAGTCTTCTTGATGGACAGTCTGTTGGAGCACAACAGGCTTAACAGTTCCCAGCTTGTGCTCCTGGATCTTTCTCTACCTTTAATAGCATTGATTATAGAGTTCTCTTGAACTGCTGTCGGGAGCTGGAAGCACAGCTGAGATGGCTAAACTCATCCTTAGGATGGCTAAAAAGTCCCCCCAGTTACAAGTCACAATTTTAATTTACCATCTATGTCCCTTCCCGGAAAAATCTGATTCAGACACTATTATTCATACACCAGTTTCCTTCCAATTAGAATATTGTAATGCATTTCATTTGGATTTGCCTTTGAAGAAACCTCAGAAAATGTGAGTGAAAAGGTGGGAAAATGTGACAGCCAGGCTTTTGTCAGGTGCTTTTCAGCAGGAGCATATAACTGTTCTTGCAAAGTGATATTGGCTGTCCATATCAGGGTGCTTATTTTGATATATAATTTCCTACGTGGTGTGGGATCTGCCTCCCTGAAGAAGAGGCTTCCCTCATGTGTTAGGAACTAGGACCTCCAATCTTGGTTTATTATAGTTGCTGGCCCAAAATGAAGATCAGCTGGAATCTACTGGAGAAGGGCCTTCTTAGGGATGGCCCCAGCTTTGTGAAGCTCCCTTCCCTTTGAAGTTTGGACGATTCAAAAATAAATATTACAGGGACAAGTACTATGGTGCTCACAGGCACCAATGAATGAATGAATGAATGAATGAATGAATGAATGAATGAATGAATGAATGAGTTAGGTATCTGCAACCCAGTGCTTTGCTATTTTGTGAAAAGACAATCCTCCTCCAGCTATTTAGTCCTCAGTTTTCAGAAGTAAGTAAGCTAGGTAACGAGAGCACCCTCAGAACTAAAGAGGCTGGCAGAGAACAGCCAATGGTTTGTTTTCTTGTGAATGTGTTCCATCCACCTTGGCAGCTATTTTGTGAAAAGACAATCCTCCTCCAGCTATTTAGTGAGAGCACCACAACTACGCTGAAAATTCTACATGTGTAAGTCAGCTGCAAAATCAGGCCTAAGGTATTGAAATGGCTACACTGAGAAGCTTAATTTCTGCTTTCCTTTATTTCTCCCGTTGTAAAATCAGTGGACATTTTATCTCACCCCATTCCTACACATGGGGTTAGATTCAGACAGTCTTAGAGAGTGTGGATCCATTCAAATCACAGGTAACATGTCCCATAGATTTCAGTTGGTCTTCTCCAAATATGAAGGATCCTGAATCTGATCCATCAAGTTTAGAACTGTTTTAAAGGTGATAGTTTATTTACTATTTATTTATTTATTAAATTTTATGCCACCCATCTCCCCCAGTGGGTGACTTCATTAGATAAATCCACATTCCTTTCAGTTTTTAAAATTGTGTCGGGGACCTATGTAGCAGCTCTCATCATCATCATCATCATCATCATCATCATCATCATCATCATCTTAAACTTGTACGTTGCCTGACTCTCAACATTTCTGGGCAGCTCACAACAATCAAAGAAATTACAATAAAATCAAT